CTCTTTTAATGGTCCCTTAATAAAAACAATCTCATCTGGTTAAAAACAGCAGTTCCCTTATTCTATTTTAGTAAAGCAAGTTCTTCATTGCATAAAAATAGCAAGCAGTTTTTTCTTTGCAAAATGCAGAAAGCAGCAGTAATCTACCTTTATTATATACTGCAATTAAACAAAATAATATTTCCTTTTACAACAGCATGATATGCGTATGGTAAACTAAAGACTTCAATCATAATTTTTCTTCTATATTTGCATATATGATTCAGAATAATCTGGTAATGGTGAATTAATTTTTCCCAACCAACATAACAAAATTCCTTTTATTTAAATATTTAATCAACAAGTTCCATTATTATTGTTAAATAGCTTTTGAATCAAAATTGATATGAATTTGGTCACCCAATCTTGCTCTGATTCAACGTTGCACTACACAAGTTATCTTTTAGTTAACTCCAGTCTAAATCTCTGAAGCTCTGTAGTGGATTAACTTTCATACTCTGTCCCAGGGATAATAAGATACAAATTTTAGACGTGTTTTAAGCACGTGCAATCTTTTTATTAATCTGTTAAAACATTTCATTACATAATACATGTATATCTTATTTCAATTAATCTATTATTATTTCAATAAGCTGCAAAGTCCATATCTTGGAACACTTTAAAAAAAACAACAACATTCATACAAGTCCCTTTATTGCTCAGGGCTCATAGACTCATTCACTCTTCTCCAGCGCAACACAAGCTGTGTCCGTCTCCGTGACCTGATCACACTCAAGTGACAGTTCAGGAGGGGCACACACCTCCTGCTCCACCAGATATAGGGTTTATTTTCTCATACAACCACAAGTTACAAATACGCTCAGACAGACACAGACACATACATTTACACAGACTACTCTACACTCTTCCTAAGTGACCTGTCAGTTGCTCGCTCTTTCATTGATACACTTCCTCAACACAGTAAAAAAGCAGTACCCTGCAGGAATTTTTGCCTAGCCATAGGACTTTGCGCGCTTCCCTTTACTTTATCTGCTTAACGTCCATTGATGTCCATCGAGGCCCACTCATCAATAAACACAGACCATTGCATGCAATGTATATCTGCTTAACATCTACTGCCATCCGTCAAAGGCCCTCTTGGCAGTAAACACAGATTTTTGCATGCACAATCTGCCCTCATTTACTATTATAGTAAAACAGATCAGTGCATGCAATTATTTCTTCTGGAATCAAAACCCTTTTTCTTTTTGTTCTTTAAATTTGGAGGAGCATTTTCGAGTGTCTATACCCCCACTGGCTGACTTTGGCAAACAACACTTATTACACTGAACAAAATTATAAACGCAACACTTTTGTTTTTGCCCCATTTTTCATGAGCTGAACTCAAAGATCTAAGACTTTTTCTATGTACACAAAAGGCCTTTTTCTCTCAAATATTGTTCACAAATCTGTCTAAATCTGTGTTAGTGAGCACTTCTCCTTTGCCGAGATAATCCATCCACCTCACAGGTGTGGCATATCAAGATGCTGATTAGACAGCATGATTATTGCACAGGTGTGCCTTAGGCTGGCCACAATAAAAGGCCACTCTAAAATGTGCAGTTTTACTGTATTGGGGGGTCCGAAAACCAGTCAGTATCTGGTGTGACCACCATTTGCCTCATGCAGTGCAACACATCTCCTTCGCATAGAGTTGATCAGGTTGTTGATTGTGGCCTGTGGAATGTTGGTCCACTCCTCTTCAATGGCGGTGCGAAGTTGATGAATATTGGCAGGAACTGGAACACGCTGTCATATACGCCGATCCAGAGCATCCCAAACATGCTCAATGGGTGACATGTCCGGTGAGTATGCTGGCCATTTGTGTACAGATCCTCGCAACATGGGGCCGATGAGGACGATGAGCATGCAAATGAGCTTCCCTGAGACGGTTTCTGACAGTTTGTGCAGAAATTCTTTGGTTATGCAAACCGATTGTTGCAGCAGCTGTCCGGGTGGCTGGTCTCAGACGATCTTGGAGGCGAGTATGCTGGCTGTGGAGGTCCTGGGCTGGTGTGGTCTGTGGTTGTGAGGCCGGTTGGATGTACTGCCAAATTCTCTGAAATGCCTTTGGAGACGGCTTATGGTAGAGAAATGAACATTCAATTCACGGGCAACAGCTCTGGTGGACATTCCTGCAGTCAGCATGCCAATTGCACGCTCCCTCAAAACTTGCGACATCTGTGGCATTGTGCTGTGTGATAAAACTGCACATTTTAGAGTAGCCTTTTATTGTGGCCAACCTAAGGCACACCTGTGCAATAATCATGCTGTCTAATCAGCATCTTGATATGCCACACCTGTGAGGTGGATGGATTATCTCGGTAAAGGAGAAGTGCTCACTAACACAGATTTAGACAGATTTGTGAACAATATTTGAGAGAAATAGGCCTTTTGTGTACATAGAAAAAGTCTTAGATCTTTGAGTTCAGCTCATGAAAAATAGGGCAAAAACAAAAGTGTTGCGTTTATAATTTTGTTCAGTATATATAAGCAAAAAAACTGCCTACCTTTATTGTTTAGTGGCCACTAATAATGTTGTTCGTCAAGCCTGCCCAAAGTGATCCACCACCCTCTGCTCCTTTCCAGCCCCACATTGGGCGCCAAAATGTGGTGGCTCTTGCCGTTTCTATGAAGAATCACTCTTGAACACTTGGGTTTTGATGCCAGAAAAATAGACTTTTATTATCAGAGAGATAATGCAGTCTAGAGATTATCTGCAGAAAATCTATCGAGTCTGTGTCTGTACTCTCTTTTATACAGTGCTTTCCGAAGGCGTGCCCATGTTCAATACATTTCATACATATGGTTATTGTTTATCAACTCGTTTACCTCTTTTGGCTGTGTCTCCAGCCTGCCACCTAGAAGCAGACAGGAGGCCACAATTTATGTTCCATGACTAAAGAGGCCCCATCATATATTTTGTCTAATGTCAAAACAGGACATGCAACTTTACCATATACTGTATTTTTGTAATGTCTGCACCAAGGAGGTCTCATGCAGGCCTCACAGACAGGCAGATACATGATTATAACAATAGAATAACTTGATATATAAATGGCCAGATTCACATTGATTATACTTGAGTAGTTCATATTTTGACCAATAAAAATCTTCTACACGTGTCGTCTGAACGTTTTAGAGCCTGCCAGTTTTGTGTTCTGCGCACGATTAATGCTCCACTCTCCACCCAAATTCAAAAGCTGCTGTTGGTTATTGAAGATTTGACGAAAGAAATCGCGGCTCAATTGTCATGTCAGAAAGTGATAAGACTTTCAGTTTTATGGACGTCGCCATCTTTGATTTTTCTTTGGTTACTGTCGCTATGGTTACTGGTAAGGAATGGGGCTTGACTCCCATTGCACGTTCATACAGACAGTATTCTAAACACAACTGTAAGCTGCTGCGTGAACGGGACATTTCGAGACTCACACCTGTAAAGAAAATGCGGTAGTCAATCCCAAAAACTGACAGTGTGAACGTAGCCTATATATCAGTCCCTCCATGATTTTGCAATTCTGCGATCGCTGAATTTATTGCAAAATCAAGCAAACTCTGCAATTTTCACAAGAGCTGGCAAATTTTCGTAATTTCCGCAGATTTTGGGCTTAGACACGTCCCGTGACGTCATCAAAATTCAGAAAAAGTCAAAGAAAGGTTTCTCAGTTCCAAAAATGGAATGAACAGCCTTGCTGCGGCCTGATCTTGATCTTGACACCGTTATGCACAGCACTGGGAGATACAGTGAAGAAAGATAACATCTTGTGAGAAGCATTCAAATTCGGCGCAGAATTCTGTTAAAGCTATAGATATCAGAACAATATACTGTTCTGACATCACTTACCACTGATGTGGTAACCAGGAAAAACATTGTTCAATAAACACAAATCATCACCATTCACCATGGATTTAACATAGTAAAACTACAGGGACAACTTGTGGCAGAAATGGTCTAATTTTTTTGAGTGTTTTTAAATGTTTCACACAACTTTTCCCAGCACTTCAGAGCTTTAAGTATTACCCAATTTAAAAGTTATTTTTAATGTGATGGCACAGCATGCATTAAATAATCACTAGTAGATGGCTGCAGAAAAGTACTTATAGCCTTATTAGCCATTTCCACTCCCTAATATATATATATATTTTTGTATGTATATTATAGTTAGACATTACAGTAATAAAAGTTAATTTTATCTGCATCTCAACTGCCCAGACGGCACAAGTACATCTGTAAGACGTCTGCTAAAGATCTGGGAAACATCTGCTGTGTAATCTGATAAACGTCTCAGAAGCATTTTTACATGCATTCTAATAAATGTCTATTTGACATCTGACAGGAAACATCTTAGAGACGTATTGCAGATGAGCAAACACTCTAAAAAATGCATCTTGCAAATGTAAATGCAGACATCATATAGACATCTCCGAGATGTAGATGTGCGATTAGGGCGAGTGCTTTACTGTCAGGTGCTGTTGCCACCTTCTGTAGAACTTAACAGCACTGGTGCTAGTGTCTTCAAATGTTAGTCTGGATCCCTACAATGGTTCTCAAAGTCAGAAAAGTCATAACAATGTTAGAAGACTGTTATCTGTGGTATATTTTCACTGCAAAACAATAAGAAATGCTGCAGCAAAATCAGTCAATTTAGGCCGCAAAAATCAGAAAAAAGTCCCGCGAAATCCTGGAGGGACTGATATATATATATATATATATATATATATATCAATCCTGGAGAGACTGATATATATATATATATATAAATCCTGGAGAGACTGATATATATATATATATATATATATATATTTTACAAAAAGTGTTTTAGTAGAAAGGGATCTAATATTCATTAAGCCAAGCTTTAGCATTTGTTTATATGTATTATATCTGTTTGTTTTTTTTAAATTAAATTATTACCCTTAAATGGGTTTGAAAATTTTTGGGGTTTGCTTGTTCGGGGGAATAGACAGAGTCTCTATATTATGATATCTAGGTGAAAGAGTATCTATGTGCTGAGAATAAACTGACTTCTGTGACGTGAGTGGCTAAATGCCAGTCTGTCTGCTTCCTGACCTGGGCCCCAGTTAGTCAAGTACGAACTCTAATGGTGCTTTTCCACTGCGTGGTACGACTCGGCTCGGCTCGGCACGGCTCAGGACGGCACGGGTCCGCTCCGCTTTCCTTTTCCCTCCAAGCTTTAGCATTTGTTTATATGTATTATATCTGTTTGTTTTTTTTAAATTAAATTATTACCCTTAAATGGGTTTGAAAATTTTTGGGGTTTGCTTGTTCGGGGGAATAGACAGAGTCTCTATATTATGATATCTAGGTGAAAGAGTATCTATGTGCTGAGAATAAACTGACTTCTGTGACGTGAGTGGCTAAATGCCAGTCTGTCTGCTTCCTGACCTGGGCCCCAGTTAGTCAAGTACGAACTCTAATGGTGCTTTTCCACTGCGTGGTACGACTCGGCTCGGCTCGGCCCGGCTCAGTACGGCACGGTTCGGCTCGGCTTGCATTTCCACTGCAGTTCAGTACCGCTTTAGAGTGGGCGGGATTATTCACATGTGTTATAGTTGCGCCGCCTCTACTACCACGACAGGCCTGGCAGGCCATCCCCAGAGTGCCAGACTGGGTTTTGGGGATAATAAAACGAGGTTATTCACTGCAATTCGCTTGAAGACCCCCGCGATTCAGCGGCGTGGTTCCCACCTCCGAGGTGATGAATTTGCTGGCGATAGGAGCTGTAGAAACGGTTCCCCCAGCTCAAGCGAGTCAGGCTTCCACAGCTGCCATTTCCTCGTCCCCAACAAGGATGGCAATCTAAGGCCCATCCTCGATCTCATACATCGACGACTGGCTTGTTCTGGCCCAGTCGGAGGCAGAGCTAATATCACACAGAACCCTCCTCCTCAGCCACCTGGAGTGCCTGGGACTCAGGGTCAATGTCAATTTTGCCAAGAGCGCGTTGTTCCCCAGCCAGTGAATATTGTTCCTGGGAACAATTTTCGACTCAGCCCAATTGAGAGCTGTTGTCCTGCCGGCTCTGGCCATACGGAGGCTGGTGACCTCTTTCGAGATTGGTACCACTCGCCCTCTCAAAACATTTCAGAGGATGCTGGGCCTCATGGCGGCGGCATCGCCAGCACTACAGTTGGGTCTGCTTCTTATGCACCCCCTTCAGCGCTGGTTGAAACCACGGGTTCCATCCCATGCTTGGCGTCACGGACGCCTGCAGATCATGGGGAGTCAGGCCTGTGTAACAGCCCTGGCCCCCTGGAAGAGCTCCCACTGGATGGAACAGGGCGTGACCATGGGGATGGTTTGCAGAAGGACAGTTGTCACGACAGACACCTCCAACCCAGCTTGGCGGGTGCTGTGCGAGAGCATACTGACTTTCGGCCACTGGTCGAAGGCGAAAAAAGGCTTCCACATTAACTGCCTGGAAATGCTAGCAGTATGTCAAGCCTGTCAGTTCTTCCTGCCAGTCCTAAAGGGGCACCATGTGCTAATCCGATCGGACAACATGTATGTGATGTCCTACATACATCCCCAAGGAGCCCTCTTGAAGCGTCTCT